CTGACAGCGGGGGTGGTCATAACTTTTTAAAGAGCCCCTAACTAGAGCTTGGAGAGCCAGAATGACCTCCCAGCCAGCAGAGATTTTTTTAAAAACCCAATGACACAAAAACTCAAAAACAAAGGACTTTGTTTTTTCCTTTAACTCCCCTTCCCATATGTTGGTTCGTAAAGTGAAGAGGCCATGGATGAAGCCCTGTGCCATTCAGGCTGGGGCGTGGCTCCAAGGACGAGCCGCCGGGCCGCTTTCAGTTTCATTTCACCCGTTACAGAACGAGAGAGAGGGAGAGCGCGTGCGCAAGCCTGCCAAGGAAGCACTTCAGGCCCGGAAGGGGTGGGAGAGCTTCGCGGCGGAGAGTGCGCCTTGTGGACAAGGGGGCCTATCGCAAGAGCCACGCCCAGGAGGGTCGAGCCGGCGAGCTTTCTCCGGAAAGAAATGCATACCCTTCCAAACAAGGACATAAAGCAGCCTACAACATTGTTCTCCCATCCTAGATTTTATCCTAGATACAACCCTGTGACGTAGGTCACACCAAGAGCAATTGCAGGCCGGTAGGCAGGATTTTTTTTTTAATTTGAGGGGCCTTTAAATAAATCGGGGGAAGTCCCGCACACACTCCTGGGGTGGAGCAGATGAGCCTGCCGCCGCCGCCGCCGCCGCTCCCGCACACAATGGAGCCGCCAACGCTCGAAGCAAAAGCAGGCAAGGAGCTGGAGTAAGGAAGGAAGGAGGCAATAGACGGCCAGCTCAGCTCGCCTTGGCAGGCAGTGGCAACGGGGTGGGTGCAGTGATGGGAAAGGTTGATGCCGGCCGGCCGGCCAACCTGGCTTCTCTCCACCGGCCCAGAGTGGGGCCCGGTCGCCTCCCTTCCTCTCCCGCAGTCAGGCCAAGGAGCCCTGCAACTTTCCTTTGGTTTAGGAGGGATGGAGCAGGTGAGGTTAAGAGGCTGGGGGGGGGGGCTGTTGGATTAACCTTGATACCACCGGCACCACCACTTTGCTTCGTTCCTGCGGCCCATGTGGCAGCGTCCTGGCTGTCAGCGTGGGAATGGAGGGGGGGCTGGCCGCAAAGTCACAGCAGGCGGGCTCGTTAAGGGCGATGGTATGATGTGGTGTGGCACAACCCCCCCCCCCGGATTTTTCGGGGGGCTGGCCTAGATGCAAAGTTGGAGGGGCCTGGTGGTAAATGGGCGAGGGCTAAGATGCCCCACTTTAGCTATGGTCCTCCTGAGTAATTGGCTCAAGGTCACTTAGTGAGCTTCTAAAGTACAGTGGGGATTTGAACCCAGGTGTCACAGATCCTAATATGGTACACTGGTATTAAACCATGCTGGTTCTCATGGGAGAGTCCTGATTTGTTTGCCTTGGTGTTGTTTCTTTCTTCTTGTGAGCAGCTGGATCTATCCTTCAGCTACAAACTGCAGAGACACAGCTGCCGTTTGCTGAGTTGTATTCACTTCCAGTATTTTGAGTTCACTTCATAAGGGTAGTTATTACTAACACCTGTTATGAAAGCTGCCATTTTAACAGGATTCCACTCTTCAGCCATGCATATAGCCCAAATCCAATATAGCTCTTCCTTAGGGTCACCAAGTCAGAGTTGGGAAATTCCTGGAGATTTGGGGGCAGAGCCCACAGAAGACAGAGTTTGGGAAGGGGAGGGAGCTTAGCAGAGCAGCGATATCATACAGTCCACCCTCCAAGGCTGCCATTTTTTTCTGGGGGAACTGATCTTTGTAGTTCAGAGATTAGTAGTAATTCCAGGAGAACTAAAGCCTCCCACCTGGAGTCTGGAAACCCAGCACCTCCTTTGTTCCCCTGACCTTCAGGATAATGGAAGAATGTCTGAATCAGCAATGGACGTTACTGGCGGTGGGGGAGATGGGTTCATAGTACTGTTCAGTGTGAGGAATTTATTATTTCCCATTGTAATGGGAGAAAATCTGCCAGCTTGTCTTTTAGCTATTGGAACTGTCTGTGGAAGATTTTTTTTTTTTTTAACACTGGCAGAATGGAGTTGGAATTAGGGTCAGGTTTATCTGTTCTCTATTAAAAGGGACAGGACGGGTTTTTTTTTCTCTCCAAGCGGTTGGAAACCGTAGAAGTAGAGTATGTCTTTGACAGTGAAGCTAGCATGAGAGAACTCTTTCAGGGAAACTGCTGGAGAATGCAAGGGAGGAACTGCACACTTAACAAAAGAAAAACAAAGGATGTGGGATTATTACTAAAAGTTTTACTTCAGGAGACGGAATGTTGTTGTTCAGTCGCACAGTCGAGTCCGACTCTTCGCGACCCCATGGACCAGCTCCCGCCAGGCCTTCCTGTCTTCCGCCGTCCTCTGAAGTTTGCTCAATTTCATGTTTGTTGCATCTATGACACTGTCTAACCATCTCATCCTTTGCCGTCCCCGTCTTCTTTGACCTTCAGTCTTTCCCAGCATCAGGGTCTTCTCCAGTGAGTACTCACTGGAGACGGAATATGCAGCCTTATTTTTAGTCTTCAAAGAAGTGTGTAAGCACCAGTAGTAAGATGACCTCAGCTTGTGGAGTTCTCCCTACCACCTTTGTCACTGGGCTGTTAACTAGAAATAGAATGGAGAGATAATTGAGGTCCAGTACTGGTATAAATGTGGAAGTTTCTTTACAACAGAAAAATAACAAGAATGAATGCAAGCTGAAGAATAATTTCTTTGACAGCAGAACTATGTGATACTCTAAAGAATGGAGCAAAGGAGAACAGAGCTGGAAAATGAGGCAGATTTATTTATTATATTTATACCCCGCCCTTCCTGCAAACAGGCCCAGGGCGGCTAACAAAAGCGGTACAATGTACCTAATTGGCATAACCATAAAAATTTTAGAACTACATAAAATACATAACTCATCTCACATAATAATTAACAATAAAGTGCTCGCGATGCTGACAGATTAGATGGCGCGCTCTTCAGATCTAAGTCCACGTTGTCCTTCCGATCATCATCCCTTAAGCAAATACGAGCCTGGAGATCCATCTGGGCCAGTCCTAAGTTCCAGAAGTTCAATGGAGTCATTGACGGCAACAGTGGTTGTGGCGGCTCCTATTTAAAGGCCTGGCAGAAGCGCTTCATCTTGCAGGCCCTGCAGATTTGTAAAAGGTCCCGGAGGGCCCTGATCTCCTCCGGGAGCTCATTCCACCAGTAAGGAGCCGCCACAGAAAAGGCTCTGGTCCTGTTACTGGTGAGCCTTGGGGCCAGGAATAGTCAAGCGATGTTGGGCCCCTGACTGTAGTGCTCTCTGGGGCACATATGGGGAAAGGCGGTCCCTCAGGTAGGTCGGACCCTGGCCATGTAGGGCTTATGCCGAAAGCCATATAGAGAAGTAAAGATTAGCACCACAGCAGATGTTATTATCCTTTTTAATGTTGTTATCCTTTTTAATGGTAACCTCTGCAGTTGAGAAGTAAGCAGCACATCAAGGCTGGTTATATTATTTATTTTATTTATATTTACATTTATATCCTGCCCTCCCTGCCATTTGGCATCCTCAGGGTGGCTAACAACACATAAAAATACATTAAAATTCCATTAAAACTATCAATAATACAAAATCATACAACTTATATTAAAAGATGGCGAATCTTCTGATATCGACTATAAACTGAACGCTGTCCACCGGCTCACACCCAGCTATTAAGCTTCGGTTGGTGGCACTGTTGGTACTGTCGGTACCAATAATGGTACAGTTGTTGCCACAGTTGGTAATCAGGCCAGGACCAGTTGTTGCCACAGTTGGTAATCAGGCCAGGGCTAGGGCCAGGGCCATACGATTGAGGCAGCATCCTACTTAAAAGCCTGGCAGAAGAGCTGTGTTTTACAGGCCCTGCAGAACTGTAAAAGGTCCCACAGGGCGCTGATGCCTTCTGGGAGCTCATTCCACCAGTGAGGGGCCGCCACAGAGAAGGCCCTGGCCCTCGTTGTAACCAACCTGGCCTCTTTGGGCCCTGGAAGAACCAAGCGATTTTGGGAGCCCGATCTTAGTGCTCGCTGGGGTACATGCGGGGAAAGGTGGTCCCTTAGGTAAGCAGGTCCCTGGCCATATAGGGCTTTAAAGGTAAGAACCAGCACCTTGAACCGTATCTGGTGTGCTATAGGCAGCCAGGGCAGGGTTTTTAGGGCAGGCTGGATGTGTTCCCGCATAGGAAGACACAACACCAGCTGCACCTTCTGGATTTGGGACAAGGGCAGCCCCATGTAGAGAGCATTACAGTAATCCAATCTTGAGGTGACCAATGCACGAATCACCATCGCTAGGTCATTGCGTTCAAGGAAGGGAACCAACTGCTTAATCAGCCGTAGATGGTAACAGGCCAACTTTGCAGTTGCTGCTACCTGGGCCTCCATTGTTAGGGAGGTATCCAGGAGCATTCCCAAGCTCCTAACGTCCAGCGCTGGCACCAGCGGTGCCCCATTGAAGGTCGGGAGTGCGATCCCTAACCTTGGGCCACTCCAACTCAGGCATAGGACCTCCATCATCGGATTCAATTTCAGTCGGCTCTGTCTAAGCCAACCAGCCATGGCTTTCAACAGCAGGTCCAAATCTCCCAGACTAGAGTCTGACTGGCCATCCAACAACAGATAGAGCTGGGTATCATCAGCATATTGATGACAGCCCAGCCCATGTCTCCAGGCAATCTGGGCGAGGGAGCGCATGTAGATATTAAACAGTATTGGGGAGAGCACTGCACCTTGGGGCACTCTGCACACTAGCGGGTGTCTTCTGGACAGTCGCTCCCCAACTGCCACCCTCTGTTCCCGATCCTGAAGAAACGAGGAGAGCCACTGTAGGGCAAACGCCTGAATCCCATTATCGGTGAGGTGGTGGACCAGTAGTTGATGGTCGACTGTGTTGAACGCCGCCGACAGATTTAACAACATCGACATCACCGTACCACATCGATCCAGATGCCTCCGGAGATAATCTGTGAGGGTGACCAGGACCCTCTCTGCCCCATGGCCTGGTCGGAAACCGGACTGGAAGGGGTCTAATATGGAGGCATCATCCAAAAAGCCCTGCTTTAGTGGGGAGAAAGGAACACATCTTTCCCCAATACACTTCTGTACTCCCAATCACATTCTGAAAATGCCCCTATACAGAGCAAACTTTCCAAGTACACTCTTTTGCATACCTCTCCATCAGGATAGATCTCACAGGTGCGGAACAACGGCAGAGGTTTGTGAATAGCACAGTAGCATACAAGTAATGTATGAAAAAGGCAGATTTATTGACTTCGAAAGGGAAACGTAACTTGGTTTTGGCTGACTTCCAAACAAAATATACAACGTAAGTGTACAATACAGCCAAAAGCTTTCCCAGCAAAATGCCAAAGCTAGGCAGACAGCCTTTTTCTTATTCATCCTCCCTTATTTCCATTGTTTATTTCAAAAATACATTTATTCTCTTAATTTTTTTTTCAGATTAGTGTTCCCTTACCAGTAGGCTTTTCCACATTGTCATTTTTCTGTGTGTGTTCCTTGGTCCGCGCGTGTTTAGTGGTCAATTCGATACTACATTGCTTTGTGTCTGGCATATCTCCCTGCACATTTAAACTGCAGGTGTTTATGGTGGACATGAAGTGATGTAAAATCAAATTGACCACGAAAGGGAGCAAAACAAGTGCAGAACGGAAACACCCCCCCCCCCAAAGCGACAGGAACACACAAGTGAGAAAAATGAGAATGTGGAAAAGCCCAATATTACTGGAGTGCAATGAACTTTAGAAATAAACTATAAGTACTAAGGAGCTACCATAATCTCTCCAACCGGAGGCACTACTATTTCAGACCAATGGCACCTCAGCTTCCGTTGCACCTGAAACAGTGGGTGGCCTTTGAATAAACTGCATCTTCATTTCTTGAAGAGATCTTCGTCCTCCACAATGAAATCTCCCACATGCTGAGCCACTTCTCAATTCCAGCACAATGCCTTAAAGTGCACAGATTAACAATACAGATCAATACGGTATCTGAAACCCGTCTCCATGCTTAGATTGGGAACTTGTACATAGGCATTAAAGCTCTGTGTCCTCACTGAATTATCCCAGATGTTGGCAGTATGCTGTCACTGCCATCAAACAAAGCTTCATTGGCTGTGCGTGCCTCCTCTTCACAACTCTTTCCTGCAGAAGGGAAAAATAAAAGGATGTTTAGAAGAATGATTTGGGCAAGAGGTGATCCCTCAGATTCACAGACCATCTATTACAAGAGGTTATGATGGAAGGAACACAAAAACCTGTCATTGATAAAGAAAGCACAAAGTAGCTGGTAGATCCACTAGCCTTTACTTCAATTTGAAACAACTGGCAACTGATTTAAACTAACTTCATCCCTTCCCACCTTCATCTCCTAATAGTGTTCTCTGGGTTATCACATGGTGGAAAATGAAAAATTGCAATCCGTATTCATTTAAAACCCTTTAAGTTATAATGGTTGAAAAAGAATGGCTTTCCCAAAACTACTTACTGAATTTCAAATGTAAATCTTGTATCTAAATAAAAATGCTATCCACTGCATTGCACTTGAACAGAGAGTCACAGATACACACACAGAGTCTGTCTTCATCTTTAAACATGCTTGGTAAAAAGGAACAGAACAGACCAATTCAACCTGTTTCCCATAAATGTGTGATCTCTATAATTAAAGATGGAGATAGGAGGCAGCTGTGATGGCTGCAAAAGCATTCCAACCAGGGTTATCACTGTGATTGAGTGATTTTTTTCAGTTCCCTTCCAGCCTTGCCCACCTGCATCTTCCAGGCTGGAAACATTACAGAATCTTCCCAGATCAGCAGCCAGCAGGACTTGGAGCACATGAGCCTGTGGAAAAGGAGAACAAGGAGGAACCAGTCAGTCACATTCCAAGCTTTTTTCATACAATTTCGATAAGTTACTAAACATTAATGAGATCTGAAGCAAAATCACAGGCCTTGGACAGATGGATAGAATGAAAGCATGGTTCAGGAACAGAATGTCATTTGCATGGCTAAGATCTCAGTTTCACTCCCTTGCATTTCGGGTTAAAAGTATCTCAGGCAGCACAGTTGGGAAAGACCTCTACCTGAGATCAGAGACTTAAGAGAGCCTCTGCCAGACAGAACAAATAGAAATGAGTTAGGTGGAATAATGGTTCTCCATCTGTATAAGGCAGCTGCTTATATCTTAAACAGTTTCTGAAATGAAAGTCTGAGCATTTCACCCTTTTAAAAAGTTTGCAGGCCAGTCAGTCTGACATCAATACCAGGTAAGTTGGTGGAAACCGTTATTAAGGAGAGAATTAGTAGGCACACTGATGAACAAAAACTATTGAGGCAGACTCAGCATGGGTCCTGTAAGGGAAGATCTTGTCTCACTAACCTGTTAGTGTTCTTTGAGGGGGTGAACAAATGTGGACAAGGAGGCCCAATGGATGTTGTTTACCTAGACTTTCAGAAAGCTTTTGATAAAAGTTCCTCATCAAAGGCTCTAAGGTAAGCTCAACAGTCGTGGGATAAAAGGACAAGTCCTCTTGTGGATCAAAAACTGGCTAATTAACAGGAAACAGAGAGTGAGTATAAATGGCCAATTTTCATAGTGGAGGGTGGTAAGCGGTGGGATACCACAGGGCTCAGTACTGGGTCCAATGTTTTTTAACTTGTTCATTAATGATTTGGAATTGGGAGTAAGCAGTGAAGTGGCTAAATTTGCAGATGACACGAAGTTGTTCAGGGTGGTGAGAACCAGAGAGGATAGTGAGGCACTCCAAAGGGATCTGTCAAGGATGGGCGAGTGGGCGTCAACATGGCAAATGGGGTTCAATGTGGCCAAGTGCAAAGTGATACACATTGGGGCCAAGAATCCTAACTATAAATACACGTTGATGAGGTCTGAACTGGCGGAGACTGACCAAGAGAGAGATCTTGGAGTTGTAGTAGATAACGCACTGAAAATGTCGAAACAGTGTGTGACTGCAATAAAAAAGGCCAACACTATGCTGGGGATTATTAGGAAGGGGATTGAGAACAAATCAGCCAGTATCATAATGTCCCTGTATAAATCGATGGTGCGACCTCATTTGGAATACTCAGTGCAATTCTGGTCACTACACCTCAGAAAGGATATTATAGCATTAGAAAAAGTGCAGAAAAGAGCAACTAGAATGATAAAAGAGTTTGAACACTCTCCCTATGAAGAAAGGTTAAGGCGCTTGGGGCTCTTTAGCTTGGAGAAACAATGACTGAGGGGTAACGTGACAGAGGTTTCGTGGGAACTCAATGAAATTGCTGAGCAGTCAGGTTAGAATGGATAAAAGGAAGTACTTCTTCACCCAAAGAGTGATCAACACATGGAATTCACTGCCACAGGAGGTGGTGGCAGCTACAAGCATGGACGGTTTCAAGAGGGAATTGGATAAACATATGGAGCAGAGGTCCATCAGTAGCTATTAGCCACAAGGTATAGATAGGATCTCTCGGTCTGGGGCAAGTATTCTTAGTGCTTGGGGGGGGCAACAGTGGGAGAGCTTCTAGTGTCCTGGCCCCACTGGTGGACCTCCTGATAGCATCTGGTATTTTTGGCCACTGTGTGACAGAGTGTTGGACTGGATGGGCCATTGGCCTGATCCAACATTGGCTTCTCTTATGTTCTTATGAAATGAGAGATGCTGGGGTGTAAGCCTGCCTGATTAGTTTAACCACATACAATTGTCCAGCCCCAACATGTATACCTTTCTCCCATGCTGGAACTCTTACATACCTGCACATTAATGAAGATCAGAGAGATTCTCCTGCACCGTAACTGTTGAAGTAGCTCTGACAGCCCCATCACCACTGTATAGTCAATATTACTGACATGAGTACAGTCCAGGATGACAGTGCGCAGTGGAGACACTGAAGGCAAACAACAGTATAACCAGGAAAGGTCAAATACAGGTAGAGCAGCTATTTCTACCAATATAATTCTGGCTGGCTGAGACTTACAGGTGTATTTCAAACCCTCAGCCAGTCCCATGCATTGCTTTCTCTCAGCCTGGAGTCCTTCCCACAACCCACTGTGTTTGGAAGTCACTGTGGTAGGAAAAACCAAGATAGCATATCTAAGGATATGTGTCAGATCCCAAAGCAGGAGAACAAACCCACGTTCCAGAGAAGTAAGATTTATTTCCAAAGCATGGTTGATCATGAACATACAGAGAATTGTCCAGAATGACTACAATACACAGGGGCAATATAATATAGGAACTTTAAACTTGGTTAACCCAATGGGCTCAATTCCCTCGCAAGGGAGTTGATTAGAAAAGGCGCGAAGCAGCCTGAGAACTCCAACGGCTCATACCATAAACACAAGTTCAGTTCACACGGGAATCTAAGTAAGCAAGGCAAGAAGATATAACACTCCGTCATCCACCTGTAGGAGAAGCTTGGCAGTTACAGTCGCATACCAGAAGAGAATAACACGGGGAGGGAGGGGACACGTCCCAGAGAAATGGCAGCTCGCTGACATACTGCCCACCCGAAAATACCACTCACCCACCGTCTCCCGGCCTGGGCGGGAGATCTCCCGGTTTGCCCGGGAGACCTCCAGGTTTGCCCAGGAACTTCTTGTGAAACGCCCGAACATGATAAGGGGCCCGAATATCCCCTTCTTCCACCCATTCGCGGTGCTGGGGACCGAAATCAACCCAATCCACAAGATACCACAGTTTACCACGTTTGAGTCGGGAATCCAGAATGCCAGAAATTTCATAATGCTCTTGGCCGTCCACCAAAATAGGAGGTGGTTGAACATTACTGTCCCTCCATTGACATTGACCAGTATCTTT